ATATATTTACCTCTCCTGGATTGCTGAGACAACTGAGAGACATGGTGTAGCCTCATAACAGTACATAGGCATTATGTGAACCAATTGAGCAATGAGAGATTCAGAGGAGTAATGTCTAACAAGATTTTAATCAGAAGCAGTGAATAGATTCTTAAAAATAAAAACGAGAACCAAATATATGGTAACTAAGAAAGAAAATCAGAGCTGCATGTTTTCAGTTATTGTTGTTTTTCCCTGCACAGAATTGGATGAAGAACAGTTTGAGAATTACTGACAGCACTTTGCAAGACCAAGTGTGGGATATTTTCTCTGAAGCAACCAGAAATGTAAGTTAAGTTAGAGGTACAAGGTCATACAATGGGGATGCAGCCCAAAAGGCTGGAAGGAAAACCTTTCCAGACTCCCTCTCCAGATGGGAGCAGAAACATTGTTTCCCATTCTTGCAATGGATTATGTTCTAATGTCATACTTCTAAACTAAATTACTCATTTGTGGAACACAGTCTTGCTGAAGTAGTTGTGCATACGTGGTAGGTTGTGATTCAAAACTTGGACACAGTGACACAGTTGTGACATGATAATCAGAAGGCTGATTTAACTTTATGCTACTAGTATGTAAAGAAAGGGAAAACCACTACCTTTATCTTTGGTTCCAGACTAAGATGGAATAAAACATATTTTCAGAACTTTTTTGGCCCGAAATTGATGTGCATTGGAGTGAGAAATGAACAGCACCTAGTTTCCCTATCTTAGTAGTGGCGAGAGAGGAGATCCTCCAGTTTGTGGTGTGAATTCCTCCCACTTCTTTGTCCAAATTGTACACTCACTCTGACCTTTTTGTCAGTGCCTAGTTCTTTGCTGTTTCAGTACTAGCTTAGCATGTTTCAGTAGGATGTTGTTTGTTTGTTTACATCTATTGCTGCTCCTTGAAAGCTGTTTCCCTCCTGATGTAAAGGTGTTCTCCTTTTCCCCACGTTCTTTTGAGGAAGAGCACAGGCACATTTTTGGCATTAATCCCCTGTTGATTATGCTTTATGTTTCTGATTTGATAATTCTAGCTCAATCTATTTGCAGTTTTTCTGAAGAATCCAAATCCAAGAGCCAGGAAGCAAATAAACACATTTTTTAAATGATATGAACTATCATAAACTCTGGGCACTGAATTTCAAGTACGTTGTCTTGCTGGAACATTAATTATGGAGTTGATACAATTTGACAAAAGTCATAAACAGTTCTCGCTTAACTTAAATGGTTTTTTGTAAAGAAAATAAATACTGAATCTGAAAAGCTTTTATTTAAACACAAGTAAACAATTTACCTTGTCCATAGAGCATAGCATAAAAGTAAAATGTATGACAACTTTCTTGCCCAGATCATTTCAATGCAGCTTTAAGAGTTCTTAAAAACATCTTCATATTCCTCTGTAATACGTACCTTGAGGTGTATGTACTCAGTGGAAATTCTCAAGCAGAATTCAAATTTGATTGAAATTACTCTTCACAGAAACATGTTGGTGTTAAGTTGCGTGTTTGAAGATCAATTCTCTTTCTAAACAACCACAGGAACATTTCAGTAATTGTGTTTCACTTGTAATTATTAAAATGAAAGTTTAAATTAGATAGTAAATTTTTCATTAATGCATTCATTCTTCTACAAGCAAATTATTATAAGCCCAGGAACTTTAAAGGAAAACCAAATCTGTTAAGGTGAGAAAAGTCCGATTAAATAACCAGCAGTGCCTTTGTTGCCATTGTGCAATAACAGTTTGTTCACTAAGACATATCCCAAGACAGGGAACTGGATAGCAAAACCAGATTATTACTCAAAGTTGATAGATTTGGGAATAGGTTCTGTGTCTTGCTGAAATGTGCTATAGTTTCATTTGTGTAAATCAAAGAGTTGTCACTCCCTTAACTTAATTACATTTAGCAAATACGTTAAAACACATTATTTCAACTAGAAATCATATATGTTGTAAGATAACATTTCTTCTGTGATCTTAATTACCATTTAATCTGTTGAAAGAAGAACCAGCCACACAATTTAGTGCTGTTTCTGAGGTAACTGGTGTCACCACATATAAGCAGTTTAATTGATTTCAAGTTCTTAATGTTCTTCATGAATTATCTAGTAGAGGAAAGTTGTGTTGTCAAAAAAAAAAAAAAAGACTTAACAATTGTAATAATCTGTCTTTCCACAAAAGAATTCAAATGAGAAACAACAGGACCAACCACAACAGAAGGAAGAGCAGCAGCCTGCAGAAACTGGGGAAGAAACAATGGCAGAAGAAAATGGAATTACAGATGATAAAGCTGAGAGGAAAAAGAATAAGAGAGAACGAAAAGAAGAGAGACAAAAGAACAAAAAGAAGGAGAAAAAAGATTTGAAGTTAGAAAATAAATCAGAAGTAAAAAAGAGTAAGAAGTCCAAAAAAGGAAAGGAGAGTGTGGAGAATGAATTGGAAATAAATGGCAATGGCTGTCAGAGTGACATAGAAGAGGAAAGAAATGGAAAGAAACGCAAACATAAACATGGAGAAGGTATCCATCCTGCAACTTGTATTCTTGTTTGTTTTGAAGATGCTTTTTCTCAGTGTGTTAAAGTTCAATAAACTACCTCAGTAGAATTTTTATGTAGCAAGTTGCATGTAACAGTGATTGCATAGTCCTTTCATAAAATCTGAACCTCTTAGAAATACAGGCTTGTGTTACAAGAGCAGAAACTTCTCAGTCATGTCAGAACTTTCCTTCCACTTTTAAAGTTTTTTGTGTATGTTTATCTATTTCCATCTCTAGAGGAGCCTCATAGCAAAACAAAGAGAATGAAAACTGAAAACATTTCAGAAGACATGGAAACAGAAAACACCAATGACAACGAAGATGATGTGGGAACAGCCAAAGGTATTCTTAAAAGGGCAATTTAGGTAGTCACAAAGCTGACCTAATGTAGAATATAAATACAGTGCCTCTGCAGCAAGCCATGGAATAAATTGTACCTCAGCAGACATAGACATATGTACATTCAGTGTACATACCTGTTCCAGAGTAAGTAACCTGTGCTACACTTAACACAGTGGTGAATTACTTCTCTGTCCTTTGTTGCTTCTGTGTTGACTACACTTGGTTCCCTTGGGCAGTGAGGAATGTGGCAAGTTTGTGTCACCCCAGCAGGTCTGTCCCTGCTGCCATGCACCTTAGCCAGCACAAAGGAAAAAGGGTAACAGCTCTCTTAGACCTCTTGGTATCTCTCATATCCTCATTTTTGCTCAGTGAATCATAAATTCAGCTGTGTTGGACCATGGTTTATGCTTAGATAAACCTACTTCTGCCTCTCATCCAACACACTGTGACTGTTACGGAATGACTGTGCTTGAACATATAGATTGTTTGTTTGGAAACTACCAATGAATGACCCCTGAAGTGGGTCTGGTCTGAATTTGACTGCCTGTGTTCTGAGGGTGAGGAGACAGGATCTTCCAACTATTCCTGCATTATGTGAGAGTTGCTGCTTAAGAGCTGAAGCACAGAAGTTAAGGAAAAGCAATCCTGACCCCTGTTGCTCACGTAGTGTTGGAGTTTCTCACATCTATTCCATTATAATCTTCAGAAACAGCTACTGCCTTTATGCTTGAGACCCCCTGGTGTTGTAGGGCCAGTAAGGTAACAACTGTTGTGGTAGCTGAACTGGTTCCAAATCAGGAGATTGAAGGCTGGTTCCTATTAGAGGAGAAGATCTGGAAATACCTAATTTTACTAATGATGTTGTACATCTAATTCTTTTCCAGGTAAATTCAACTGGAAGGGAACCATCAAAGCTGTGCTGAGACAGGCTCCAGACAATGAAATGTCAATTAAAAAACTAAGAAAAAAGGTACTGTACAATATGCTTTTTTAATCTCCATTGCTCTTGTGAATTTCTGTCTGTAAATTCATTAACTTCTGCCCCACATAAGCAAAATAGTTTGACATTATTGACAACAGATGTCACAATGGGAATTGAAGAACAAGTTCTTTATTGCTTACTGAGTTACAGAAGAAATTCAGTGCTAATTCTACAAAGGAATAATAGGATAATAGATTCTGTGCTACTTTTAATACAGCAATGTGTATGTATTATTACTTAAAGTGGAATCATCTTTACTAGCTAAAACCTTTCTCTGTCTTTGTGCAGGTTATAGCTCAGTATTATGAAGTAGCTGGTGAACATCACAAATCAGAAGAGGATATCCTAGTCATATTTAAGAAGAAAGTGAATAACAATCCCAAATTTAGAGTTCTAAAGGACAAAGTGAAACTTGTGCAGTAAGAGTTTGCATACTTTTTGTAACTCTTGCATTTTAATCTTGCAGATGGAGTCAAACTCTTCTGTCAGCTGTACAAAAACTATGCATTGGTCTCAATTTAAATTGTATATGTGAAAGCAGAATTTAACTTTTAATACTGGATTCTGTTTTCTAGATTTATCACAGAACATTTTCAGATATTTTTTTGGTTTTATGAAAAATGTCTATTTTTTGGTACAGGTTTTAAGAGGCATTGAAAATAATTGCTGTCTATGGTTTTAAAATTTATCCAGTATTAGATGTAATTTATAGGCATGGATGTTTTATCAGGACCTGGGTTGTGTAGCTTTTTGCAGAAACTATTTTAAGAGCAAATAGGATTTTCATATTCAAAAACCCACTGTGGAATAAATGTTTTGTTGTGCTAAAATTCAAGATGGTATGACTGCTACCCCCGTTATGCACTGTAGCTAGTGTGTGCAGGCTTTAGTAGACTGATAATTCTGTGTTGCAAAATGCATAACTCAAGTGTCTGTCAGATTTGTGTCTGTGATATTGCACATTCAGAGAAAAATCTAAAGACTGAGTGACCTGTATATGCATTGCTACTGGAAGTCTTGGTTAGTAATGCAACAGACTTCAGTATAAGGGTTACATGGACTAAAACTTGACTGATGAAATAAATGACTTCAAATCACCACCTTAAATATCATAAATCTTGTCACTTTTATGCTTGTGAAGTAAATCCACACAGATCCTCTTCATCACTTAAGGAGGCTGTTACACTGCAGTCACCAAGGCAAGTGAGGTAGGCCAGAAATTTTACACATATGTAGGAGACAGAGTTGCCTGAGGAAAGTCCCTTGAAGTTTTATTTTATTTATTTTACTCAAATGCAAAATACTTGCAGCTAAGGAGTTTCCTACTGCAAAGCAGTCTGCTAAAAACAGTGGTAGAAAGCAATGGTATGAGGTTTTGAAAAACAGCTTAGTGATTTCAAGCATATAAGACTTCAATAAAACTCCACAGTAAAAATATCTGAATTTATAGACATTTTGACTGTATTAAAAGTATAAATATGAAAAAATGAACTGTCTTATAGACTGGGTACAATTTTTCTGAGTACATATTTGTCCTCTTATAAAAGTTGCAGTAAAAGTACCAAATAAATTTAAAATCTCTTCAAGAAGTTTGTTGTTAATTCATTACATATGGCTTGGAGATAAACAGAATAAAATGTATTTACAGGCATGGACAAACTTGGAGAAGTTGTTTGAGCACATCTCAAAACCTAGTTTTGTTTGGTTTTCACCTTAGGAAAGGACACATAAGTACTTATCAGGGAAATTGAAATCTGTACAATGCAGTTAATCTTTTCACACACTTTTTTACAACAGCTGTTACATTAAGACCCTAAACAGGTTTGTCAAAGTCCTTATGTTTTCTTTTTTGTTTATTTTGTTTAGAATTAATTCCAAATTATACCGTTCTCGTCTACTTTTCATCTTTCATTGCTGTTGACCACAGCACATGTTTGGCACACATAGAAGCATCTGCTGAATTTCTGATGATGCTATCTTAAGTTGTTGTGATGGCAACAGTAGCTGCGACATTTGTGGCAGCTAATTTTGCACCATGCCTCCATCCTCTTCCCCCTACCCTCAAACTACAAGCCAACCTCTTTCTATTCTACACTTCAAAATGCCAATCCCATGGGTATAAGCCAGGACTGTCTCCCTGGTCTGTGCTTTCATCAGCCAGCTGGTTCCACCTTGCTCTGTTGTGGGAGGGTATCATAGCTCTGGTCAGTTCCTGGGCAGGGCAGAGCAGCTCACTGAGCCCAGGGAGTTGTGGAGTGGAACTCGTGGCTGTGTTTGCTGGGCACCTGTGGTACCCACACGTATTGTCAGTAAAGGCTGGTTTCTTGATCGACTCATGAATTTCTCAGCTGCATCTTTTTTTTCAAACTGGTAAGGGCAGTTTGGATTATTTGTGCTATGCATTTGAAAATACAGCAAATTCTTTGGAGTTTCATGAGTTCTTTCACATCTTGGGAGAATGATGGTTTCTGCTCATGAGAAGCACTAGGATTTTCTAATCTACAGACAAAGAAGCTGATCTATATAATAGAATTTTAGGGGTTGGAATGGACCTTAGAGATCATCTAGTCCCTGGGCAGGGACACCTCCTCACTAGATCAGGTTGCTCAAGGCTTCATCCAGCCTGGCTGTGAACACTGCCAGGGTTGGGGCTGCCACAGCCTCCCTGGGCAACCTGTGCCAGTGTCTCACCACCCTCACAGCAAAAAACTTCTAGTATCTAATTTACATTTCCCCTCTTTCAATTTGTACCCATTGCTCCTTGTCCTGTCACTGCAGCTCCTAACAAAGAGTCCCTCTCTGGCTCCTCTCTAAGCCCTGTCCAGATGGAAACGAATTAAAAGAACCTTTGAAGTTGTGCAGCAGTTCTTGTTATTCAGTCTAACAGATAACCATGTACTTGGCTCCTGTCAGTGCAGAGTTCTGGTGTCTGATGCTCAGGGTTTACTGCAGTGACCACTGAATGAAGCAAAGCAACAGACTAATAAAAGTTCAGAAACACCATGCATCAGTTTAAAGCTGAAAATAAGGAATATCATATCAACTGTGTGCAGATGAGCTATCAGAGTAGGATTTGACATTGTAATTTTTTTCCTACTTAAACTGTTGTGATTCTTAATGGTTCAGACACCAAACTGTGAATTGCCATGGTTGGGTTAGTTGTGCCTGCATGGGACAGTAAATATGTTCCCTTCTCTGTCTACAGGGTAAAACAGCACTAGCTGATGTTCAGTTTTTACCTCATGATTTGGCAGGCATGAATCCAATTTATGCCTCTACTGATGGTCACTAGTGGGAGTCTATTGCAAAGAAGTCCTGTTACAATTACACTGTTATTACTTCATTACACACTGTGACAGCAGTATTATTTTTTCCTAGCCTGTTGGCAGAAAGAAGGGCAGGGGAGCAATATGCTTTCTGGGTATATTTTTCCTTCTGATTATTCCTGGAAGTACTGTAGTATGGTAAGGAGTCTGTGCCTCCCATTATAGATGACTTCAAGTGCTATTGCACAGTTGCATTATTGACATGCAGCTCTCCAGTGAAAAAACAACTGACCTCTGTGTTTTTTCATTTGGCAATTAATGAATTACTCAGAGGTCTGAAATTGGCTTTTCTACTTAGAACTGATTGGAGCTTTAATTTACTCCTTGCAATTAATGATGTCTCAATCAGATTAAAGTTACTACCAATTTTGTGGTAATTGTTTAGAAGGGAAGCTTAAGCCCTTGCACATCATTCAGGATCCTTCACGAAGGCAGAAAAACTGTTAAGACCTAACTAATTTCTATTCAGTGATTAATCAGCATATTAAACAGTATTTTTTTAATCCCTATGGCAATGAAGTTATGTATCTTGGGTGCTCTTTTGTTTCCTAGTAATGAGGGTGTACAAACTAAAGATTTACCAAATGCCAGAGGGCAACAGTATCAATCTACCTGATTGCATTCAGAGAGCATGTAATGGTTAAAAACTGTTATTCCAGAATTCTTATTCAAATGAATGAGAACAGCAAGGCATAACCCACAGTGGTGACACAGAAACTTGCTGAATACCTGCTTGTGGTTTAATTAATGTATTCATTAAGCATTATTATCTGATCCCAGCTTTTAGGTCAGATGATTAATTTGATTGAACAGCTCTTAAGTCCTCCTTTGAGTGGCTCTGGACAGGATGGACATCCATCCATGCATGCAGGTCTTTGAGGAACGAAGATGGAGCTCACAGGAATTGCAGTGGTGCCAACTGCCAACCCTCCCTTCTGCTCTGCCTTTGATCATCAAAATCAACCACTGCAAGCAGTTGCCAATGGTGCCAAGGGTGATGCCCATGGGAATTTAGCTGACATGACTCACAACTGACATTTTAAATACATTTGACAGCAGGCACATAACGAATCAGCAAGTTTGTCATCTTTGATCTCTGTTCTCAGCAGCACAGCTCAGGGTTATGCACAGACAGGAAAGTTGTGGGTTCCTTCATCAATCACATTACTGACCTCCTGTTCAAAAATATATAGAGTACAGAATATTTAAAGGAATGTCATGACAGTCCTAAGTATCCCTTATTTTGTTCTTTTATCTGACAGAACAGCTTTGGTATTAGCATTTCTTCTAACAGCATGCTATGGGTTTGCATTGCCACAGTGGACTTTATCTACTGAACCACTGAGTTCACTCCTTGTAGCATTTGGTCATCAAAAACATTTGAGAAATGAGTTCAGCTGTGTGCATGGGGAGATCCAGCAAAATGTAGCACACACTGCAGTCATAGCATTTTTATTTTATTTTATTGTGTTTCCCAGTTTAGCTGCATGAATTTATACCATTATAGCTAGTGTTTTAATATAGCTTGTGCAGAGAAATCTCAATAGGTGAGAATGTAGAGTTCTGATTTTACTAGCAAGACCTGGGTGTTTGTTATAATATGAAAAATGTCATTAAATATTTACTTTATAACTACATATTTTTCACTTTTTCTGTTTCAAACCAAGATGTGAAAACAGATAAACCCAACAATTTACGGTTATCAGTGTTGACTCAGTATTTTAACCACAGGGAGTTTCTCTGTTGTAACACAGGGTAGGGTACTGAAAAATTAGTGCAAGAAATGTTTGTATAAAGCTTCACTTAGCATTTAATACAAGTGGACAATATCTTGTGGATTTTTTTTTCATTTTCCACAAATGATACATTTAACAGTCACTGTTAACGTCAAGTCACAACAAGTTTATGAGAAACCATCAGATTAATGTAGCCTTAAAAACCCTTCCAGAATATGTTTTGGTGATTTTCTAAACAGCATAACATAGCTCCACAGTAAAATATGCCTTATTGTTAAACTTTTCCTTTCTAAACCAGTGTATTGGAATTGGAGTGCCTTTGTGGCAGGGTGGGGAAGGAAGGAGCAATGTAAATTAGAACATTGTTTAAAGCTAGTGGCTTTCTTTAGAAGCATAGCATAAGCACTTAAGCAGGGAGTTTAATCACTGGAAGAAAAAAAAGCTTCAAAGGACAGCTACTTATTTGTTGTACTCAGCCCTCCACTGTCCTGGTGCATTAGAGTAGTTCATTCTTTTTTCCCCAGTGAAAAGTGATCCTCCCACCTGGTGCTATAATCCGATTGCATCAGTACAATGTAGTCAGCCCTCGACAGGAGTAGTGGCTCATAGCTGATGACCACAGGATACAGAGACCCAATACATTATTTGCTTCGGTAACTTTTAAGGCTGTAACACTCACCCTTATTAAGGAAATAAGAGAACAAATATTAAACTTTTTGTGTGAGATAAGCGAAAAAAAGGCATATTGTTCTGTACATTGAGCTGTACTCACAGGTTACAAGATATCTCAGGCAATATATTCAACATTTTCCTCTTTCTTCTCCCAATTTAGCCATCGAGAGAAAAACAAGAATAAGTCCTCTAAGTTTCTTTTCTGCTCTGTCA